CACTGCCGTGCCCCATGCCAGGAGCAAGATAGTTTTTTTTTGATCTGTGAATAGTTTTTTGTGATCCTCAAAAGATAGTTTTTTTTGATCCCTTAAATAGTTTTTTTTGATCCCTCACCCTCCAAAAAGGGTGCCGCATCAAACTCACCATGCCGAAAGCCTGACTCGAATTCGCGATCCAGGCTCAAAACATACATCAACTTTGACGTCCTCCACAGCCTCGGCCATGAAGGGCGGACTGGCCGTGTCTTGTTCGTTCTTGGCTGTTTCGCCAAGCTGGCAGTGACAGCCAGGATCGACCCGGATTCCTGCATCGCAAACCGAGGGCTTCTTCTCATTGACGCCAGCTGCTTACAACATAAACTTGTGGCCCGATTTGCATCCACGGCGAATGCCAGGTTCCAGTTTGGAGTGCCATGAAGATCACAGAGTCAATAGAAAACTGGTTGGCCGAGAGCTTGAAAGAATGGAAGAGCGCTATAACACTGAGTGGATTTGCACAAGCTTGCTCTGGCCAAGGATGTGTATCGCGCTTCCGACGTGGACCTTTGGGTTTGCAGCTAAGATAACACAAGAAAATCCCGCCATCCCTTGCACGGAAATCAGACTGCTGCAGGTCGGTGGCATGTCCCAGCCACCATGGCTGCTTGCCATGAACGGAAACTATACGCGCCTGTCGGATGCCTTAGCCTAAGCATTTTCTTGCGTTGCGTCCGTTAGTCGACAGCGACATGGAGCAGAACTTGTCGCTTTCCGAAATCGATGATTGCGCCCAGCTTACAGGAACACCACAGAGTCAGCCATTATGCTATGTGCATAGTGCAAACCCCTTAAGAAGTACAAGATTTCTATCCAATTCTCTCGGTTTGTACAAACCCAAGCACAAAACACTGTAGTTCGAGGATTGGAACTGCAACAGCTTGGGGCGACATTCCATGATCCCGGCGGAGGTGCAGGGCGGGGTGGTTTCATGAGTTTCATGTTCTTGCTGGTCCTTGCTGGCCAGCTAGCTCTGCTACTCGTACATGAAAATGTCCTGTGCTTGCTTCAGGCGGCTGTCCTCCGAAATCTCGGGCCTGCATCTAAAGTGCTGGGGTGTGTGTGTTGCTGTGACTGAGCACAATCCATGGAAGCTTGCAGGTTTGAAGACACTCACCTACAGGAGCTGCATGTCAGGAACCAAGGGCCTTCAGCGCACCTGCCTCACACAAGGATGTGTGATATGTCATGGGTTTAGCCGATATTCCTTTTGCAATCTAGAATCTATTCAGGTGAAATGGGTCGTCGGACTTTTGATATGAAGAACACTACAAGCCGGCGGACTGAGGTGGAGCCTGTTGCCAACGGTTTGAACCCATATGTGAGCTCCTTACATGCTGCGCTGCATTTCATATTGAAAGCCGTCGCAGACATCACAGTCCCTGTGTCGGAGCAGACACGCAGATTGACCATCTTGTGAGCAGTGGATGTGCTCCCTTCATCCCCTTCTCCAGGGCAATGTGTTTCACAGGCTGGATGCTGGCAGAATGATTTCAACGTTCGGATGTTCTGCAGTGTTCGCTGGAATGCTTTTCTCCAACATAGTCCCCTTTTCCTTCCGGAAGGATTTAAAGTCAGTTTGAAGCTGTCAGGTTGTGCTTTGCAGCAGCACCGGAAGAATATTGCATTATAATGGTGCTGGATGCCTAGCACGGGATGCGAGCCTAGAGCATGACGCTTGGCGGGATGGCACACCAGCCTCAGACTTTAATAGGGTTCCCACTTTGTGTTTGCAGTGTATGCCAAGGCCATGAAGCCGTGGCTACTTGACAGCGACACAATTTCAGTTCCAGCCGGCTTCTCAGTCAACTCACTTCTTGGCCGGGATCTTTTGCATTTCCTGTACACTATTGTAAGTTGAAATAAACGCTTCGCGTCGTCCGCCTCGGCCCGCTGCAGATGAAGCAGGACGCGAAAAAATGCTGAGAGGTCTGCAGAACCAGTGATGCAAAGCTACACTTGAAGAATTGACTCTTCTTCCGTCCTAAAGCATCTAAGCATCTCAAGTCGATGGTGTGGGAGTGGGGAAATGGGGGGGGGGGGGGGGGGGNNTTGCCAACCCGAAATCCAATTTTAAGGCGGGGGCTTGAAACTCCGACCGCTTTGGCATCGGGCGCTGTGATGGGGCTGGAGCAGAGACTCAAGCCTGGCGTTCACTTCTTTGTGCACGAAGCAAGGCGCCGTAGGAAGACTGCAGGGTAGGTCGGCAACTTGGGGTTCAGGATGTTTTCGCCTGTGCAAGTGTGCCCTATTGGCCGTACTATCTCGTTACCCAGAAGCAGACTGTTTTTTGTTAGCCCGAATTTGGCATTCAAGGTGTGTACGCTTCCAGAGTCGCTGTGGGCACCTCAGACCATACAGCAGCATCAACAGACACAGTGCGACTGCAATTGAGCGATAGTTTTTGGCACGGACATATGGATGAAAAGAGAGATTCAGTGACAGAACTGGACGAACTTCGCAGGAGTTCTCAAGTGATGCATGAAAACACAGTGGGACAATCAGCCCAAGGATGGCCGAGACAGATTGGAATGTGGATGAGTGAAAGCAGATTTTTGGAGCCCGTGCTGTCGCTTTTCGACGACATGCATCGACACACCGAGCAGCAGCCTTTGGAGCCTCGCTGTTCAATTCAGAGGACAAGAGGCTGATGGACGCTGGTTTGGCCGACGCTTGTGGTGTGGACCAACCGAGAGCATGCGCAGCGATGCATTTCCTCGACACATGCACATCCTGTTTCGGTGCGTGTCGCGTCATCACTATCGGGACCGTCACAATCCTTCTCACTGTGCGCAACGAGATGCAACGAGTGTAGATGCAGATGACACAGTGATCAAAGCTTGTTTCTAGGCATACTATTGGTCTTCATAGTTTTTCATAGTGGTTTGGACTGACAGCTCCGGACTTCACCTGGTTTTCCTTCGGTCTTCGTCGGTTTGAGTTTTAGTCGGGACGCACGCCGAAGCTAGTTTCACTTACCCTGGAAGGGTGGCTTTGCTTTGCAAGCTGCATAAACTCTATTTATTTCGGGGAAAGGGTGGCGGACGCGGTTCTTCGATCCTCAATCTTTGTAGTCTTCGACGTAAGCACTGCAACGCAGTCCCTGCTGCCACGAGTGCAGCCTGGAATGAATGAGTCAGCTGTCCTGGCGTGACGTTGCAAGCCAGTTGCAAAAAAAGCACCAGCACCAGCAGCAGCAGCAACAGCAACAGCAGTAGCTACCACTACTACTACTACTACTACTACTACTACTACTACGACTACGAGTACTACGACTACTACGACGACGACGACGACGACTACTACTACTACTACTGCTACTACTACTACTACTACTACTACTACTACCACCACGACTATTACTACCACTACCACTACCACTACCACCACCACCACCACTACTACGACTACGACTACGACTACGAATTGGATCACATCATTGCGCAGTCACGATCACATTGATGTTTTTGCCTGCTCTAGGCCGAAGGACTTCGAGTCAATCTGCAGCAGGTGCTCCAAACGAGTAACCAGTTGCCGTTTCGTTGACACTCCCGCCAACAAGACCATGATCACCGAGCGAAAGCGCTTACGAGGCGCCGCAGCACCATCACTTGCTAAGCGAATCGCAGATGCTCGTACAGAAGCCAAGCGCGAATGGTTGTGTTCTTTGCACCAGCAGAGTGCTGCGGGCGACTTCCGGGCGGTGGCCTACTTGTGAAAGAGGAATTCAACTCTTTATACCCAGGGGTCTTACTGTGTGCATGCAGGGAGTCGCTCCAAGGCTACATCCGACCTGAGGCTTTGCTACCAGCGCAAATCCTGTCTCGTGTCAGGCCATCCAGATGCCCTTGCAATCTGAACTTGCAGACCACATACTCGATTTGTGTAACAGTGTGTTTCTCGGATTGCAGCCTGTGCCTCCATCCTAGGCACACAGTCATGTCTGCTTCTTGCCTAAAGTAGCTGGCCCTGCTTCTCCAGGTGGTCTTCGACCCGTTTTGTTTTCCTCTGTGTCTAAGGTCGTTGATGCTTCGTCTAAGGCCAAACTCCAGCCTTCCAAAAGCTTAGATGCAGCATGAGCTGTCCAACAAGCTATTCGTCTAGCAGACCAGTGGGGGAAGCATTTGGTCATAATTAAGCTAGGCGTGGCAGCGGCCTTGGGCACGCTGTCGCATGAGGCGGTAGCAAGCTTTCTATAGCAACAGCCACAGGAAGCCGGGAAGCAGAACTTCTTTTGGAGATTGTGAAAGGAAGCAAGGTTGACCTGTCGTTTCAGGGCACTACTTGGACCCAGGAGCTGATGCAGGGGATTCTTCAGTGGAGGAGTTATGGCGCTGAGCTCTTCGCAAGATGTGTTGATTTCTTTCTCACCCCTACCAATCAAATATGGCAGGTTAAAGAGTTGACATGGCTCAAAACCCGGGAGGGCCAGAAGCTTTTGCCAACACCCTTTGCCGATGAATTGGTTCCGATTGCAACCTCCAGACCCCAGGCTCAACGACCTCTTACCGACAGTGAATCAACACTTCAAGCCATTGGCCTCCGGTTCGACTGGAAGAAGTGGTACATTCAGACTCCTGGGCTACCTAAAACGCACCTGAAAATTTCTGCAGGTGACGTGCACTGCGAAGAAGCGAATATCATTTTTTGGTATTCTCATTGGCTTTCAATTGACGTGTCTTTCGGTGTTATCTGCCAGGATGACCAAAGTATCCAACGCGTTTTGGGTCTTCTTTCGCATTCTCAGACAAGCAGGAGTTGGGTTGTCCAAACGACTCCAGGTTTTCTTCCTACATTACATCTCGCTGGTGCTGGATCAGCCCAGCAGAGGCCGTACACCGTTTTCTACGGACTACGCAGACATCTTTCTTGACGGCGATGCGACGTTTCAGCAAAAATCGCTTGCAGGGTTCCGTTGATTTGCGGGTGGCTCGTAAAAGAGCCAGTGTACCGTGCAGCCCCGCAAGCAGGGAGAGCATGCCAGATCTTTCTTTGGATGCTGGGGACATGCAGCCAGAAACGCCAACTCAGCTTGCATCCCATTGCGCTCATGTTACAGCTCAGAGGTGTTCGCCAGCTTACATGTCACCAAACGACTCCCAGGTAGGTGGGCAGATGTCAGCAGGTTTCTGCGACTAACTTGGGAAATTTTTGACACTTCGAAGCATCTTACCGCCATTTCATGGATCCGAGGTGCCTCTGACAGAGAAAGATGGCAAGAGTCCATTAAGGCGAGGGCTTCCGCTCATGCAGCCGAACGATACAGCTTCTACTCGGGGCCTCCAGAGGCAGTCGACCTTCTGGGTTGCCAGCTCCTTCAGAATGAGGATACCTTCGCCCTACTTCACACCCGACACCCACCTGTTGAGGAGCAACACAGCGTCTCTTTCCTTAAATTGTCAGGTGCTCCAGACCCCTCTGGTGCCAGCCCAGGTTCACAGGAACACCTCCTCCGAGGTCCTGGACCAACGTTCAGGCCGAATTACAGGCAGCAGCTCAGGCACGGCGAATGATTGGGCACATTCCTTCGTGTCAAGCGACCTAGCCGACCGCTTTGCTAAACAGAGCGCTCCCTTTGGACATCTCCGAAGAGTCTTTTGCCCTTTGGACTTTCAGAGGGCTTTCATTTCGGACGCCGGCAGCCTTCCCAATTTCCTGCCGTGGCTCGCGTGACAGGTCATACTTGACCACAACTTGGTTGCAACTATTCGCACTTTCCTGCATATTGTGTGCACTTCGACACCTTCAAGCAAGCCAGCGAGTTTGCGGAGAAAACTCTTCAGGTTATTGGGACCGCTGAGCCTGCAGCTTGGGAGAAAGAGATGCCGCACATGGTTGAGGAGTCTGAGAAGATGCTACGCTGTATCTCGGGGCAGGAGGAACAGATCTTCGGCCACAACCAGAAGATCGAGTCTGTGTGCTCGTGCATCGTTGACCAGGTCTTCGAAGTCGGTGGATTTCTGGACCGACAGGGCGAGACAATGGCGATGCGCCTTCGTTCTCTCAGCGAGCTGCAGAGTGGCATGGAGCGTCTGCTGAGCCAGATGGCATCTACTCGCTCCACTATGCCGGCTCCGCCAAACCAACCACCGACGTTCCAGCGCTCAGACCGGGGAGGACGACGCCGCCGCAGCAGCACCCTCCGATTGCTTTGCAATTGCAACGATGTATGCAGTGGTACTGCCGATCGGCTTTCGTCATGGAGTATCTCACCTTACCTGTCTTGTGGACTGCCTTGCCATAACGTACTGCTGCTGCCTTGCTCCTTCTGCCTGTCTTGCACTGACTTTGCGCTGTCTTGCATCGCCTGCCTTACCTTACCTTTTCCTTTGCATTGGTAGTGTTTTCCTTGTCCTTTCTTTGCCTCCGGGCAGCTTTGTCCAGGAAGCCTGTCGCGGCGCCAGACATACCTGCGTTGATGTTTTCGCATCGTAGCTCGGAGTGTAACCCTGCAGACTCGAAATCAGGCTCTGACTCAAGCATGTCGTTGCCTACCTTGCACCAGACACGCGCCTGTCCTTGTGAGTGCACCTTAATTCCTGGCCCGTTGGCCTCAACAAGCGAAAACTGTGCCAGGTATACACAACAAAACCCATGCCAGGCCCACTGCGACGCGGGGAGTATGGACGGCGAAACGCCCCAACCTGGACCCCAGGACCCTCCTTTCCGTATGTCGGAGGACCTTCACATCCAGCCCGCCGAACAAACTGCCCTATTCGTACTCCGTAAGCGCAGACCCCCCCCCCACCTCGACATCACAAACGAGACCCCGACGGATTCGCATACCTAGAAGGGGGGGGGGCGAGTCCTCGATGTCGTGATTCGGTTCTGACACATTCTATCGGGATGCCCTTCAACATCCCGGTCAACCGATACATCGTGGCTTGCTCCCTCACATAGATAGGTATACTGCCTACGTCATCCGAGTTGGTACAGTGGATAGGCCACATCGTGATATCCGCAACTCTCCCCTGCCCTCCTTTGTGCAAGCCCTAGCCTCGCCTTTGGATCCCCCTCGTGTATCGTCTGACCTTTCAGGCGAGGAAGATATTGCATGCCGGGCCTTTGCATGATCCCACACAGACTGGAGCAAGGATTGTTCTCGTTGCCCTCAGCACTCTCCACGCTTCCACGCTGACTCATAGTTAACAAAAAGGCCCCCCCTCAAAAGAGACTTTGAACAACGCGTGCTCCTTGTTCCACAACTCGCACTGACTCTCCTTGTCCTTTTGCACTGTGCACTGCCTTTCCTTGTTTTCCCTGACTTTCCTGATTGTCCCTGTCTGTCACTGTCTGTCTTGACTTTGACCTTGTGTACTGCCGTCCGGCCTTCCTTTGCTTGTGATCCTGACTTCTTTGACCTTGTGCTGCCTCCGATCCCCCTGGAGCGGAGCCTGGAGCAAGTGAGGACCTATCCTTATTGATATGTGGCTTTCGGGTCACCCTAACAAACCTTCCCATTGCGCCAGGCCGGTGCCAGCGGATCTCACTTCCGGTTTTCGTGAGTGTTGAAGGAACTCACGTCAGGGAGGAGACCTTCTGTGTTGCTTGGGTCTTATTCCCCAAGTGGCATACTACTACTAGTTGCCGCTACCAGGTGGCACTTAGTGTTCCCAGCTCCCTGAATGATGAGATTACTTGGGAATATCAGGTTTGTGATGATCGTAGGGTCCCCAGAAAGGCCAAAGCCTGCTGATATCGCCATTATCAATACCACTGCATATCTGGTTGGTCTCCTCCGTTGCGACTAATAGCCACTCTGCATGCCAGCATCTAGCTGTGCTGAGTGTTTGGACAGTGCCTGCATGTTCGCTGTCTTTCTGCACAGATGCCGAAGCGTATTTCTGTGCCTGTTCCAGTGCAAACAAAAGTCTTTCTTTGCGTCTTTGGTCGCGTGGCCGCTGAGCTGCATGTTTTCATTGACCCAGACGTGAAGTGGCTACAGCTTGCATGCTACCGCATCCAGTGTGGCTCAGCATTCGGGTTTGGCACATTTAGGTTCCCGTGCAGACTTCCTACGCAAGCCACTGCCTCCTGTGCAACACTGTTTTTCCATCGCCGATGCTGGTGCGCCATCTCTTTCCTTTTGGGTGACTAGGGTTTAGTTCCCTCCCCCGCCCCGCCGTTTCCTAGCTGCAGCTCTTTCTCAGCATGGTTGCCGAGTGCCCGCTTCCTGCGGATGTGTATGTGGATGCGCTTGAATGCTTCTTGCTGCTGAACTGCCTGGCCACGCTGCTGGAGCGAAGTACTGGTCGTAAGCTGGCTACTGCGTACAGCATGCAGTCCAGGTGCCTATATGTGGCTAGATGCCTCGCAAGCCTGCAATGCTTTCTCCAGTACACGAAAGAGCTCAGTGCTTCGTTGCCTTCGTACGCATCCCCTGCGGTGCCTGAGCCTATACCACGTCCCTTTAACAAGGTCAGTGCTGCAGAACGGTTGGCATTTCAGACTCCTGAACAGGGGCATTGCTCCTTATGGGAGGCCGCGCGAGCTCGAGTTTGAGAAACCACGCCATTCTTTTCTTGCACAGACACGAGCCATGACATTCACGGTGGGCATATATGGCAGGCATCAATTAGGGGCTCTACCAATAGACGCCATTTCATCGCAACGTTTGTCGTCATTTCAATCGATTCATTGTGTGCACTTGGATTACAGTTGCGGTTCATTTGGATTATGAGACCCAGGTGCATACAGACTCTGCCAATGGTGGACAAAATCTTGTAGCACTGCTCAGTGTCACTGAGACTGGTGGGGGCCTCTGGATTGAAGATGAAACTGGCACGTCCCATGTGGAGCATGGAGGGGTCCTGTTGCGTGGCAGTATGTAGAATCTTCAGAAAAAGTACCTTATTTTCCCCGCGCAGTACCAAAGGCATGCCACGCAGCCATGGGGCCATTACAATCGGTTCACGGTTGCAGCGTACACTGTTCGCAATTGGGGCACAGTTGGCGGTGCCGATGCAACATATGTTGGAGGACCTGGGCTTTTGTTTGCCCCGAAGACCCTTTCAAACAGGTGCTTGCGACACACCTAGGCTGCTCCCCACAGTCGTGATGTGAGATTGCTTCTTTTCTATTTCATTCGTGGTATTGCATTGAATTGCACGTGCAATGCTTTTTGCTTACTCGCATCAATGCGTTACAGCTGGTACAGACGCAGTGGCCGCATAACAATCAATGCAATCAATGCATGTGCATCCCAGCGTATGGGGGCTTTTTCATGTGGATTCTTCGTTACCTTTCATGCTGAACCTGCTTCTTTCAGTCAGGTTTTTTTTGGAGATGGCATCCTCGACGAGCCCGCGCACCACAGGTCTGGGAGCGGAGGGCAAGCATCGTCATTGCTGCTCTTTGTGCGTCACTGGTGCTCATGTTTCCTGGTGCAATAAGCTTCAACTGGCATTGCAAAGGGGGAAAACTGGAAAGTGCGCCACCAACTTGTGCTGGCGCCTGGTTGGTCCTGGCCATCTCTACTGCTGTCCGGATTACAAGCATGATGGTGGTCGTCGCCACAGCTCTATCTGCTATGCGGCAGGAGTGGGTTAAGGATGCGCCTATGGATACCTCTGAGCCAGGGCAGTCTTCGAATCCGCCTAACTCTGAGCATGCTGCAGGGGCCAAGAAGCCCAGATTGGATCGGGAAGTTTCGTCATCGAAGGATGTGGAGGTTATCGATCTGGACGCTTTGGATTAGCAGTAGTGTTTCAAGGAATCACGTACCTATCGTGATGCTGCCACTGAGCAGCCGGATCAATGATCCGTCCTGCCCATCGTCGACCACAGGTATTCCGTGCGACGCTGCTGAATGAATACTACGACTACGACTACGACTACGACTACGACTACCACTACTACTGTTACTACTGCTACTACTACTGCTACTACTACTA